TTGATCTGTTATAGCTTTTCCTTTCCTTTCCTTTCCTTTTTATTGTTTACATTTTTTTCAAGAAAACTTGATTTTCAAAGGATACTTTCTAATCAGATAGGCATACTATGAAATCATGGGGACATATTTACAGTGTTGTGTTAAGGTGGACAGAATATGAGCAACACTATATTTATGCTACTTTTGTGGCATGTTTGCATCCTTAATAAACCTAAAGGATTATTAGAAACACCTGTTCAATTTCTCATTAATGCAATTATCTAATCAACCAATCATATGGCAGTTGCTTCAATGCATTTAGGGGTGTGGTCCTGGTCAAGACAAACTCCTGAACTCCAAACTGAATGTCAGAATGGGAAACAAAAGTGATTTAAGCAATTTTGAGCATGGCATGGTTGTTGGTGCCAGACGGGCCGGTCTGAGTATTTCACAATCTGCTCAATTACTGGGATTTTCACACACAACCATTTCTAGGGTTTACAAAGAATGGTGTGAAAAGGGAAAAACATCCAGTATGCGGCAGTCCTGTGGGCGAACATGCCTTGTTGATACTAGAGGTCAGAGGAGAATGGGCCGACTGATTCAAGCTGATAGAAGAGCAACTTTGACTGAAATAACCACTCGTTACAACCGAGGTATGCAGTAAAGCATGTGTGAAGCCACAACACACACAACATTGAGGCGGATGGCCTACAACAGCAGAAGACCCCACCGGGTACCACTCATCTCCACTACAAATAGGAAAAAGAGCCTACAATTTGCAAGCTCACCAAAATTGGACAGTTGAAGACTGGAAAAATATTGCCTGGTCTGATGAGTCTCGATTTCTGTTGAGGCATTCAGATGGTAGAGTCAGAATTTGGCGTAAACAGAATGAGAACATGAATCCATCATGCCTTGTTACCACTGTACAGGCTGGTGGTGGTGGTGTAATGGTGTGGGGGATGTTTTCTTGGCACACTTTAGGCCCCTTAGTGCCAATTGGCCATCGTTTAAATGCCACGGCCTACCTGAGCATTGTTTCTGACCATGTCCATCCCTTTATGGCCACCATGTACCCATCCTCTGATGGCTACTTCCAGCAGGATAATGCACCATGTCACAAAGCTCGAATCAGTTCAAATTGGTTTCTTGAACATGACAATGAGTTCACTTTACTAAAATGGTGCCCACAGTCACCAGATCTCAACCCAATAGAGCATCTTTGGGATGTGGTGGAACGGGAGCTTCGTGCCCTGGATGTGCATCCTACAAATCTCCATCAACTGCAAGATGCTATCCTATCAATATGGGCTAACATTTCTAAAGAATGCTTTCAGCACCTTGTTGAATCAGTGACACGTAGAATTAAGGCAGTGAAGGCGAAACAGGATCAAAACACAGAATGGTGTTCCTAATAATCCTTTAGGCGAGTGTATACAGTATATATATTGAATCTGATTGGCTCCTCTTACGGCAGCTGTCATGGCAGTCGAGCAAATACACCAATTTAAAAAAAAAAAATACTACTGTTGTTGTGTCATGAAATTTAGTTTTAAGAAGGTTTTTTAAGGCAAGAATTAAGTTATTTAGACCTCAAATATGTGACTCATATTGAAACATAGCACTTATTTTACACATTTTTTCAATTCTTATTTTACAATTCCACAGATACAAGCCCCAGGCCTTGAACAGCTTCATCTTGGCCAGTCCTATGGGAATTAGCCGCTGGCTCTTAGAGATACAATAATAAGATACTATTAATTTGTGGTATATGAAACAGGGAAAACGTTGGGTTAAGGGGAAAATTAAGTTTCATAACTTCATAATTAGGCTAAATTTAACTTAATACTGTACTAAAGTGCTGCGTTTGTACATTTTAACTGAATTGTTTGCTTGTGTTTATTTTCTGTTGTCTTTTATAATGGCTATTGTTGTTAATTTAAATATCGTTGGTCAAGAAATATTTTATATAAATAATATGCCATATTTGGTATTGAGAAATGGTTTGTTAGTGATCGTGATATGGACTTCAGTAACAGTTACATTATTACGCCAGATAGCAGTGAGTAACAACAGACAAACTTAATGAAATCTTTGATGAATTAAAGCTGCAGTCCACAGTTTTTCCTCTTTGTCGCCACCTCTGTTTGAAATCTGCAATTGCAGTCATTTGGGGAATAATCAACTTTATGTGATTTGTACCTCGGCACAGCACAGCCAGGATGAACACAATGTTTGAGGAGACCGCGCAGGTGTAGATACTGGCATTCAGAATCACAGATCACTCTTTTTGGAAGTATGACCAACATAACACTTTTAACCCTAAAATCTGAAGTAAGTATCATCCACTTTTGTTCTTCTGACCAACTAACTGAAAAAAAACCCCATTGCAGTAAATTGCGCTGATTAAATCTAACGATTGTTTATCAAATCACGTTAAACCGTGCAAATTATACTTCGTTCTAAAATTGTTAGTGTTAACAACATCAGCATTACGTGACTACATGTAAAGCCCTTTCAGATATTTATCCTTTTTTTTTCATGGGTCCAGTGGAACCAGTAGACTACATCTCAACAGAGTTCTCAACGGGATAAATGACTTTTTTTGAGGACGCGCCCACGACGTTTCCGGAACGTTAGCCAAGATTCTAAAACAATGGAACTTTACCACGACGTCCTCACAACCATGTCATACAGTAATGTCACATTGACATCGACCCGAAGAATGAATGCTATATCAGGTGCAGGTTATACAGTCGTTTAGTCAACCCCACTCTCATAATAACATAACTCAACTTTACTCTACTTTACATAAGCGTTGAAGCGATTCACAACACATTCTCACCCCAAGGCGTCACCTAACTAACGCCTTGGGAAGCATTTGACCATGCTTCAACATCTGACGCTTGAGGCGCCCTTTAGCGTCAGTTAGATGACGCCCTAGGATCGCGTGTAACCCTACCCCTACCCCAGACCTAAACCTACCCGTGTCATCTAACTGATGCTTTCCTTTAGCGTCAGTTAGATGACGCCGTACTGCCGTAGGATCGCGTCATGTAACTGACGCTAAAGGGCGCCTAAAGCATCAAATATTGAAGCATGGTCAAAAGGTGACGCCTTCGATTCAACGTTCCTTTCCTTCGTTACTTGTTCTAAAGTGACGTTTTAGTAACGGAGGCTTGGGCTCAACTGTTAAACTCTCAACTTTAGATTTGAGTCTGTGTAAAAAATAAACAGCCACTTTTGCAGTGTATTGCTGGATGGAGTGATTCAAAAATCATGTTTTTGTCATTCCATTTCTAAACATGTTTCTGTTTGACATGGTGATGTTGAAATAAAGAATGATTTGGTGTAACAGTAACTAGATCAGATTGAATCTGTTGGTTAACCAGGTTTCCCCTGCGAGGCACGTTAAGGCCTGTCCCTCATTCAGAGAGATGAACCTGTTAAACAGGACCTCTGCTAAACACACTGCTGAGACTCCACTGCTCAGGCAACATTTCTGAAAGGCCACTGATGGTCTGTAGATTAGTCAGTTACTGTAAACAAGTACCAGAATGTAGGCTATTGTTCCTGAGGCCATGCAAATATTTAAACTCTGTCCTAGTTTATACAGTAAGGATTTCCCTATGTGGACTGTAAAAAACACTCAAAAACAAACAAGTGCACACAGCAGCACATAACTGATGTTTATGTAAATAAAGAATTGGGTAGAGATTATTAATTCACTTTTATCCACATGCAACTTTTAATAGACTCATATGTTATGATTCATGTGGAGTGCCGGTACTCAAGTCTCCATGTGTCGTGTCACACTTCAGTGTAGTCAGCAGAACTCTCTGTAGTTGCATACTCAGAAGAATTGTCACCCTACTCACCCGATCAAACTCCATAGGATATGAAAAGTTTGGCCTTAATTCATTCCTATTCCTCAACCCCAAATGCTACATGTGTATAAGTCATTGATGCATTCATTTATCAAATTGATGCTGGGACAATGTGTTTTTTTTTGTAACATATTGTGCTGAGCATGAGTTTAAATTTCCAGCTTCATATATATATATATATGCTATTGGAGTCAAAAGAAAATTGATTAAGCCTGTTTATTTTATTTAATTAGTTTATTTTAATATTCCAGTTAGACATGAACCATTTTTAATAAAAAGGAGAGCAGAACAAGTGTCATGCCAACTGTTGCTGAAAGTTAATCGTCTGTGTCTGTCTGTACTGCCCTTCTCATGACCTTTACTCAGGTTTTCAGTAAACAGGTCTTACTTTAAACCTGTAGCGCCCCCTTGTGATTTTTTTTTGTCACACTGCTGTCTGCAAATTAATAAATGGTATAAATGAATGCTTAGATATTGTACTCTATAGTAAAAAAAAACAAAACGTTTTTTCTTCTGACAAATCAAGTTTCTGAGTTCTGAGAATTTTGAGTTTCTGATTATTAAATCAATCGCCATTGTATTAACTCAATTTTTCAGTTTCAATGAACTTAAAGTTTTAAAGCAACCAGGTTACTTCATCTTTTTAAGTTAAACCAACAAAAATTTTTACAGTGCATGTTTTGTGTGTATCACATAAAAACAATACAAAAACAATAATATTAATAATAATTTGCTTTAAAAACTAGTTTTATAATAAACTATATAGATAAGAAAACAGTCCTATTTTGTATGGATCACATACTAAAATAAACTAAAAGCAGAAAAAATGCTAACAAAAGAAGAGGTGCAAACAAAACCAAACAAAACTAAACACTATATAGTTTTCATGCATGTATAGTTTAAAAAAAAATAATAAAAAAAATGTGCATGCCCTAGGTCCAAAACAAAACCAAGCCAAACAATTATCTACATGTTAATGGTAATTTAAAAGATAATAATAATAATTTGTTTAAAGAAAATGAATTTTTATTTTTTATAGTAGACCTAAACAGTCATTTTCTTTGCATCACATAAAAGCAGAAAAATGTGTCTGGCTAACCAAAGAAGAGATGCAAAAAATAAAGAAAGAAATAATGTATATACATTTTAATTGAAATTTAAAGGATACAACAATAGATTTGTTTAAAGAAAATTATTTTTTAAATTTTTTATAATAAACAGTCATGTTATTTGCGTCACATAAAATCAGAAAAATTTGTCTATTTAACCAAAAAAGGCATGCCAAAATAAAAGGTATATACAGATTTCATGATTTGCATCACATAAAACCAGAAACGGTTGCCTGACGTGTCTTAAAATCGCCATATTCGGATAACGTGTAGGCTACACAAGGAAAACATTCAAATGCATCAGCTATAATGACAATTTGGAAGCAAAATGGAAAATCTAAATTCTTTTTTGTTAAAGAACTTTTTTTTATTTTTTTTTTTTATTATCATTTCTCCCTTTTGATATTTCAGTGAAATATTAAGGGAGTGGATCTCATGCAATTTCCAGAGGTCTGCAGAGAGACGACTCTACCTTATCATAGTAAAATGGTCCTTTGTATGTCACTTCACACCTGTACATATTCTCACGACTCCATTTATGAGCGAGAACCGTGTACAGTCCCACAGCAGAGAACGTTCCTCCGGGTTCTCTGTGCACTTGTGGAGAGCTGGCGTGTTTTTTGAGGCCTGTTGCTCCGTTCACCTTCCACGTGATCCTCACCGCCTTTGACCGTAACCCGGTGATGACACACATAAGTATCACTCTCTCCGAGCGCTGCTTCTGAACTCCAGCAGGCAGAAGAACAACCACCTTTGGAGTCGCCAGGCGATCAACACGGACATGTGGAGCTAAAAAAAACATATCAATAAGATGATGTATGATAGATAGTATGAAATGATCAACCAGGAGTAAAACTACATGTAATAGCTGAAAGCACATACCCTCCACAAGAAGTCGAAGTCCTCTGCTAAACTTCTGGTTCATCTCGGCTGAGGCAGTGCTGTGATAGAAAAGCTGCTGTGAGCCACATGATCAAGACATTGAATGATTTAATTGATTTTTACCTTTAAAATCTCACCTTAACAGAACAGAGATACTTATGAAAATCACACCCGGTGCCTTTCCATTCAAATTCATTTCTGTTTTGTTTCATTTGTTTCTTTGTGTATTTGCTGTGTGCCGCTGCAGCATGATTTCCCGCTAGAGCCAGTGAAGCTTGATTTGTTTCAGTGTTGGTTCTTATAAAGTTGACACAGAGGTTGACGGTTGAGAGAAGAACGTCCCATGTGCTCAGATGTTATGTGCAGATGGTCCATTAAAAAGCAATCAACCATTACACAGCTGAATTCTTCACAGGCTAAATGATTTGGGTTTGGGGGAATTACTTACTTTACTTCTATACTTTACTTTATTTCTATGCAGTATTTATTCATTCTGTTGCCTTAGCACGCTGAAATGATAATAGCCAATAATAGCCATTATGTTGTTTTATTTTATGCAATCATATCTTTCACTTTTTGAAAATCACATTTAATCATTTATATTTCATTAGGATAATTTACTCACCCCCATGTCATCAAAGATGTCCATGTCATTCTTTCTTCAGTCGAACAGAAAGTAAGGTTTCCAGGATGCACTTCAGTGGGAACACAACGGTTCAAGGTCCAAAAGACACTACACTTTCAGTGCAAACTGTTCAAAAGGATTTAACGATTCCAGACGATGAATAAGGGTCTTATCTAGCGAAACGTTCGCTAATTTAAATAAAAAACAAAGTTTAAGTTTTGTAGGCAATGGTCGCCTTGCTCTGTTCTGTGATCCGCGTTCGTTCATCAAAATGAATGAATCTTTTTTTCTGAGTCAATTCGTTCGTTTCGTTCGTTGAATGAACCAAATGACTCGGAAAAAGATTCGTTCATTTTGATGAACGAGTTCGAACAGGAGAGTCACGGACGTGCATCGCAGTATAGAGCAAGGCGAACTTTTGAGTTTATAAAACTTAAACTTTGTAATTTTTTTATTTAAATGAGCGATTGTTTCGCTTTATAAGACCCTTATTCATCGTCTGGAATCATGAATTCTGGACCTGGAACAGTTTGGTTCTGAAGTGCATTACATGGAGAAAAATGTTTTCATCAAAAACCTTAATTTCTTTTCGACTGAAGAAAGAAAGACATGGACATCTTGGATGACATGGGGGTGAGTAAATTATCAGCAAAAGTTTTTTGAAAAGTGAACGCCTCTTGTGTCAGGGTTAGTGCAAAGATCCAAGTGCACACAGTTTTTCTCTTGAAATTATTCAACACCCATTGCAAATTATGTTTATCAGCAACATTTACAGACTTTCAGTTGTTTGCAATGAACAAATCAAATGAAAGTAATTGAAATAGCTCAACACAACAAATGTTTCTAGAGGTTCCCACAAACTCAACTGAAAATGCAACTTTCAATGACTTTTGCAATCTCAAAAGTTTTCAGCCCCCTGAAGAACCCTTTTGCGCCGACGTCACAGTTACGTCACGGCGCTAGCTGGAGGCAAAACAAAGTGAAAACTGCAGGCAGCCAATGCAAAACAGCACAGATTCGGCTACATAATAAGGAGCCTTTAATAATTGTTACTATTATTAAATGTCATCTTGTTGTGTTGTTTGGTGCAAGAATTGATGAAAAATGAATATGCTGTATCTGGAACTTTTATTTCTAGAAAATATTCACATCATTAAAATCGAACTATAATGTCACTCTTTACATTGTCGTGGTCTCGGCGCTGGCTCGGCAGAACTGCGGATCGTACACACAAGTCTTGTACAGGACCATGTAGGCATCTAAAGATTTATATGCCCTCAGTTTATCTTTACGATCGGTTTCTCTGTGAGTGTAGAAGTCAGGCCACTCAACCGAGGTAACGTACGTTAATCCTGTCAGATCGTCCATGCATTGAGTGAGCGTGTATAGGCGGCTACGGGTCGGCCAATCTGGTTCCGTCCGTTAAAAATAACTTTTGAAAATAACAATCGCGGTCCTGGACACTGAGTGACCTTACACATTAAGATAATATCGGATTTTCTCCAGTCATTGTTAAAAAACAAGCTAACAATCCTTGCTAACTAGCGTTAGTGAAGCGGCCAGATGGATCTTTCTGCCTCCACCTAAGCTCCGCCCACAAAAAAACGTCACCATGTTTACCAACTGTAAAAGGGTCTATAGAATCCCTCACAAAAGCACAAATTTGCAAAACAGGTGTTGTCTCAAGCACACCTGATGCAACTAGTCAAGGGCTTCATTAGTTGCACAAGGTTTGCTTGAGCTAGAACACATGAAATATCTAAACTGGTTATTTGTTGAGTGTCACGTGTGAATAAATGTTGTAAATGTGGCTCAAAAGTCAAAAGAATGGTCCAAAAAGTTAGGAGAAGATATCATCACCCTTCACAAACAAGGAACAGGACACAAAAATATAGCAAAGGCACCAAATATTCCTGGAGACGCCGTTGGAAGCATAGTTCACAGCAAAGTGAAAGAAACGTACTGTACACTACCTGGATCATGGGCGTCAGTTTGGTTGGAAAAGTGCCGGGGACAGAGACACATTCGGAAGGGCATTTTCAAAAGTGCTTGGTACAATAACGCATTCATTCTTTTTTCTATTTCACGAAGGTCATGTTTTCAAAGACGATTTCCTGTAGCTTACTGATGTAAATAAATAAAATGTATACAAAGATGTGATGTCCGGCCAAAAATGTTATGGTACTTTGGGTTTAAAACCTGCAGTGTGTGGAAGGCAAGATGGAAGTATCATGAAATCCTAAGAGAAAACATCATGCCATCACAGTGAGGAAGCTGAAGTTTGGGTGTCATTGGACCTTCAGGACAATGATCCCAAGCATACCTCAAAAGTAGAAGAAGTCCTGGCAGATCCAACTGGCCATCAATCTCACCTGACTTGAACCTATTACTGAACTGGAGGCCATTGCTCATGAGGAATAAGCTAATATTCCTCAGAAACACTGCCAGAAGCTTCTGTCTGGTCAGCCCGTTCTCATGCCAAGGCGTCATTTACTGACGCTTTTGACAATGCGTATACATCAAACGCTCATGGCACCCTTTAGCGTCAATATGAGATGCAGATATATATGGGCCAGAAGGCGCCACCTAGTGGTCTAACCCTAACCCTAACCCTACCCCAGACCTAAACCTACCCCTAACCGAAGCGTGTTATATTGACGCTAAAGGGTGCCATGTGTGTTGGATATCTACGATTTGTTAAAAGCGTCAGTATATGATCTGGTTGGTCTGGTTACAGGATAATCCATAACAGCAAAAGGGTGTTCTGTTTAAAAAATGATTGCCATGAAGGGGTTGAATAATTTTGAAGTTAAAGAAGTTTCAGTTGAATTTGAAACATTTGTTGTGTTGAGATATTTTTTTTTCCTTTTTTTTTGGGACGGGGGAGGAGGTTGAATAATTTAGATTACAACTGTAAGTTATTTTTGCTTAAATGTAAACATTTTCTAAAGTGCAAAAAGATATGTGGACACTTCCCATTGTGTTTTATTAAACATTTTTTTGCTCGGTAAACCTGATATGGGAATATAATTTTTTCTTTGATGTGAAATGCATCAGAGTAGCTGTATGTTAAAAACATACTTGACTGTTATTCAGTTAAGAGGGACACAAAAACAGGAAAGAGCCGTTGGTTTACTGGCAGAGGCATCTGTCAATGCTCTATCACAACACAGCAGCGCTTCTGCACTTCTGATCTCCTGGGATCCAACTAATCCAATTAGAACAAAGTTTGCAGGTTTTGCAATGCAAGCCAGAAATATTTCAGCACTGCAGCTTTCATAATGGAAATAGAATTCCTGAAATAGTGTAAAAATCCGTGTTTATTTTCCCCCATAAATATAGTAAAGTTAATTTACACAGAGATGCATTTAAGATAAGTCAAATATCTAAAACACAAAATACAGCATTTAAGCCAAGTTAAGTCACCTTTATTTATAAAACGCTTCATACAATACAGATTGTTTCAAAGCAGCTTTACAGCGATAACGGGAAAAATAATACATTTCGGCAGTTGGCAAGCTGAAGCCAGTTCCGTTGTAAAGATCATCAATTAGATCATTTAAGCTTTAAAGTTCTGCGAATAAAGGATGTCATCGTCCAGCTCAATTCTCACACAACAGCGTCAGTACAGTCAGATCAATAATATTGTTAAAAGTTCAAGCATTTGTATTCAATTGTAAAATATTTGCGTATGGTTTTTGTCTGAAAACCCGCAATAATAAGTGCCAGTGTCAGTACGCAAAGTTGCGATGATTTGTAAGAGGTGACGGAGGTTTAACCCTTCCCTGGTTAAGATGGCATATCTGCTCTGGTCCAGTCGCGTCCCGTAGCGCACCTGCGAAGTGTTGGTGACGTTGTAGGAAAGGATAAACTCTGGCCCCTGCCCGGGGGTCTGTTTGTACCAGCTCAAAACCCCCTGGCTGCTGTTGAGCATCAGTGGGCAGCTCAGTGTGACATTTTGACCTTGCAGCACAGAGACGTTCAAAGAAGTCTTCCAGAAAAAGCCTGAAATGACATGCACACTTGTGTGAATACAATTAGATGAGCATGAATGTTCTCAATATTTTTTATATTGTTTTAATAATTGTTTTTTGTTCATTAACACTGTAGAATTATTAAAAGAGCAGCACAAATAATTAGGGCTGTGGGCATCCAAATAATTAGGGCATTCAAAATAAAAGTTTGTGTTTAAATAATACATATGTATGAACTGTACTGTGTATAATTATTTTGTATGTATTAATACACACACACACACGCTTATATATTTAAGAAATATTTACTTATACTGTATATATATATATATATATATATATATATGAAGAGTTCAGATGCAAAAGCCTCTAAGTGCCATTTGAAATTTTCTTCTAGAATGATAATTTTTATCAAGCTTGTATATTTAAGTTCAGTAATTTCACTTAAATTAAAATTAATAGGTAATCTTCATTGCAATTTAAGTGAAATTACTGAGCTTAAATATACGAGCTTGATAAAAATTATCATTCTAGAAGAAAATGTCAAATGGCACTTAGGCTTTTGCATCTGAACTCTTCATATATATATATATATATATATATAATTTGTACTATACATAAATATTTTATATATAAATAACACATTTTTCTTAAATATATACATGTATGTGTGTTTATTTATATATACAAAATAATTATACACAGTTCACACTCATATATTGTAAACA